GGGGACGTTTGGAGTGATGGTGTTTGTCTTCCCAAGTAACCGTTAGCGTGATGGAGCCCTGCTTTCCTGGAGATGGCTGAACACCTGCCTGCCGATGGGAAGGAGTGAATGAATTCCTTGTTTTGCTTTGCTTGTGTATGCGGCTTTTGCTTTCCCTATTAAAGTGTCTTTATCTCAACCCATGAGTTTTCTCACTTTTACCCTTCTGATTCTCTCCCCCATCCCACTGGGGGGGAGTGAGCGAGTGGCTGGGGGGTGCTTAGTTGCCGGCTGAGGTTAAACAACAACAAACTGACAGATACAAAATTAGAGAGTGTCTGTCTTAAAATACACACAGGCAAATACATAGCTATAAATAACAGAACAGGGTCATTTAAAGGAATTCTAGATGAGATGTAAAAGAAAGTGCAGATTTACAAAGTAGCAGTTAACTGCCGAAATTATAGTTAACATAAACATACACTTTATGTGGTCTTTTAAAGTATGCTGGTGGTGTGCTAAGGGTTGTGCTGCTTTGTTCAAGTTGTAGTGAATTCTGGAAATTCTCTTCTCTCTTTGGCTACTTAAAGTACAACAACTGAGTAACTCTGAAAAGCAACTGATCTCCTGTGGCATTGTGGTTAAATTATTCTGAATTTGGTAGAGTGCAAGCCCCAAATGAAGCCTTCCCATCAGGTAGAAATCCCATAACATCTCTTCATGCCTAATACAGATGCACCGCAGCTTTCAGTAAAGGTTGTAGCCTAGGCTTCTCTTCTCTACCTAGCTGCCTACTTTCACAAATCTTAAAGGAGTGGAATTATTATGTACGAGACCTCTACTACTTTGCCAGTGTAACAGGCCAACAACTTCAGAAGCTATTAGGGGGAGAAGGACACCAGAAAAGGTAATTATGCAAGATCTGTTTTCTTAGAAAAGTGAATTAAAAATCCCTACTTTTTATTGCTTCTCTGCCACAAGGATCAGGCCCTTTTCTTTTTAAATCAGTAAGGCAGAGAAGACATAGAAAGACAGACAGATGAGACTATTACTATTATGTGAAAGACTGGAACTGGAAATTAATTTTGCAGCAGGTCTAAAGGTGATGATATTAAGCACAGATATTAAGTGATATATAGCTGTTGACTAAGTCACTGTTCATTTTGGCATACGTACTTGAATCTGACATCCAAGCATCAGAAATATAACTGTGTCCCCTCTAGCCCAATTCACAATTTTACCTGAAATAGGCTGTATTTATGTAACAGCCCATCTACTTTTAACTTAGCTACACAGCATGCAAAACCTACTACAATGATATAAATAAACACCTCAGAACTAATATCTAAGCTCCAATAAATTTAGATTGTTATATTTCACTAACATTTACAAATTACAGATCAAACAGGGACCCGTAACCTCTCTAAGAATTTTAATGCTCATGTAAATGGCTGAGTAACATATGTACAGAGATACACGTACAGATATCTTCCAAAGGTCTTGGGAGTCTGGGGAGGTCCCCGCTGACTGGAAGCTAGCCAATGTTATTCCAACCTACAAGAAGGGCGTGAGTGAAGACCCAGGAAACTATGGACCTGTTAGTCTAACCTCAGTTCCTGGAAAAATTATGGAGAAGGTTATACTGGGTGCTATTGAAAGACATTTAAAGAATAATGCAATCAGCAGGCACAGTCAGCATGGGTTCACAAAGGGAAAGTCCTGTTTAACTAATTTGATATCCTTCTATGATAAGGTCACCCGCCCAGTGGATGAAGGGAAGGCGGTGGATGTAGTGTTTCTGGATTTTAGTAAGGCTTTTGATACCATCCCTCACAGCATCCTTCTGGACGTGTTGTCCAACTGTGCGATGAGCAGGTACACGGTGTGCTGGGTGAAGAACCGGCTGGATGGCAGGGCTCAAAGGGTTCTAGTGAACGGGGCTACACCTGGCTGGCGACCGGTCACCAGCGGTGTTCCTCAGGGTTCAATTCTAGGGACAGTTCTGTTCAATATATTTATCAACGATCTGGATGCAGGAGTTGAATGCACCATTAGCAAGTTTG